TAAATGCAAAAAAAAAATCAAGTTCCTTGACACAGAATGAGGTGAGCTGAAGGGTCAGCTAGAAGGGGAGCCTTGGGTATGAGGGATGGGCAGGAAGTGAATGTTGAGCTGAATGACCCACACAGACAGGCGTCTTTTACCTTCAGCTAGAAATGAGTAGAACAAACGTAGCTGTCTCTCTTTCCCCTCTTAACCTGTTCAGGCAGATGTATTTCATAACGGATCACCGGGACTCCGTAACTCGGGACAGCAGTGGCTGTTACACGGCTAAGTCTTTTTCACTGCCCAACACACACGAACCCCACTCCCTGCGAACAACCAACACATCCACCGTCTTTGAACTAGTGGCACCTGGATCCTGTTTAAAATCACACAGCACTCCCTAGACCGTGCTCAAAGTAAAACGGCTGTCAGGAAAATTACTTTCCCTTTTCAATCTGTAACTGCATATGCTGTAAGTTGAGGGCGGTGGTTACTTTGTGGACGTTTCCTGACAGCCATATAATTTGGCTTCTTTCCTTTGCACTCTTCTGTGCCTGGGAATCCCGTGAGCGCGCTTACCCCGGTGCCCCCCTCCCCTTCCTTAGGGACTTCACATGAATAGTTGGCCCTTGACTACCAGAAAGCTCTCCTGCCCGCCATCTCCAGCTGTACGTGGTGGGTGTCATTTGTCTTTGTTGCAAACTGTGACCTAGAGCAATTAGGGTAGGTCAGTACTGCACCTGTGCAAATGAGGCCGTCATGTTTGTCACAGTCCCTGTCATCACAGTCGCAGAATTCTCCCGAAATATACCATTCTTCGGCGGAACAGATGCACTTTCCACAGTGACAAGAACCTGAAATCACAGAGGGTAACACTTGCTGTCACTACTTCACTAACAGTTTCCGCCTAGAACAGAATATCGTCAGGGCAGCGACAACAGGCTTCTAATAACCTAGCTTCCAAAGGTGAAAGGTTACTGAACAGCTGGTTGCTCAGAGGCAAGCCTTACTCACTGTACTTCATCAAGGTTATCCAGGAAAGGCTTCATTACAGATCTAGACAGTTGTAATTAGCCCCGAGCAAATGGTCCACAGCCTAGCCGGGTTGAAATGTCAATGAAAGCAGAATGTGGTGGATTCTTGCAGACGGCCTTCCTCAAAGGTGTTCAAAAATAGATGTTTTCTTTTTCTCTTTTTCTGAATTGAATCATGCTTTAAAAGTGATCTTTGTGTTTGTTTTAGGAAATGAATAGCAAGTTCTATTGAGTGGGGCTGCATTTAATAATTAAAATAACAACTAAGTTATTGTGCTTATAATTCTGGTTTTTTGTTGACATGATTTTCTTAAAATAGAGACATGACTGCATACTGGGAAGCTCTTTAAAGTGTAAAAATGATGTACATTCGATTTGTCAGATCTCACGCTCTGGATTTCCTGCCATAATCAAGAATAGCGCTAATCCCCCCAAATGTTCATCTTTTATGAGATTTCAGTCCAACCGCGTTTCCATTTCTTTACCCACTTCTTTTAAATTAATTACTTAATTAATTTAACTAATTAGAATTTTCCTTTTTGGTTATTAAAGACATTTTGGTTTGCTGAGAAATAATTTTATAATGATATATTTAAAAGAAAAGCAACTATATGAATTAAATGGTGTCACAAAGAGAAGAAATTTCTCTCAATCTAAATGTCTTCACCTGTTGGGCTAAAAAAAAAAATCCTCATGTGGCAAAAGTGCATCTACAACAACAGTAAAGACAACTTTAAAACTGAAAGAAAAACGCATGCCAAGGACTTTCTCTTCCTTCTATTTCCAAATGTGTTTTCCTTTCACTAAAAGATGATTATCACTAAACTGTTCTGATCAAAAATCACCTTCAGAGACTGTGAAGTAGAGAAAAGTATGTTGATCTTTTTAAACAAAATTCTAGACGTGGTAAGTTCAGCATACATTGGAAGAAGGGCGGGAATCAGTCATCAGTGCCTTTACCTACGAAGCACAGTGACTGAAGAAGAGTTAATCTGAGTTGGTGGCTCAAGAGACGGATTTCCTCACAACAGGAATCGGGAAGGGAGCCATTTCAACGTAGCTCAAGGCTTTAGCATTTAATATTTCACATCACGGAAACGCTATCCGCAGTTTAGCTGCAACAGTTTCCCCATGGCCGAGTTAAACTTTCCACATCCTTTGTCTTCCTCCTCAAGAAGGTAAGAGCGTGGTCAGAGCTGATTATGGCCTAAGAGCTGTGCTCATATTCATGAAGTCCTTGCTTAGCCCCACAGCATGAGTTCATTTAGTCTTTTTTTTTTTAATTGAAGTATAGTTGGTTTACAATTTTGTTTTGTTTTGTTTTATGTTAACCGAAAAGATTTCTATTTAGTCTGGACTCACTTTCCTGAGGGTCATGCTTGATTTGTATGCTCTTGAGCAAAATCTAGACAACGTTCAGGTCTGATGAATGACCTGCTGGTCTGATGGTCACTTCAGAATGGGAGCTGGGCCTTCTGGCTCAGTCTGTGACAGAGAGTGGCTCCCTCTTGGTCTCATCCAGGCACAGTGTTAACTTATTTTAGAAATGTATTTATCCTAATTTTAAAGACTTTCTTTCAAATGTCTAGGCATGGAAATGTTCAACATTCAACTTCCATTTAATAAGTGGCTAGCCGTGTATCTGCAAGCAAAGAAAACCTGGGACACTGCATTGACTTTTCCTTGAAACTCCCTCCGAAAGCACCGTATTTCGTGCTTTGTCTCCATGGGTGATCATTGGAAGAATTTGCTTGTTTTCAGTTGTTTCTGAAATAGTATCTCCTTTACATTCCAAAATTATTCCACATGGGAACAGAGGTAAATGACTTGATACATCCATGATATTCATCTGTTATGCCTAGAATATCATTTTGTAAATTTTGTCACAATTCATGAAATGATCTCACATTTCATCTTTAAACTTACCCCTGGCCTTGGCACTATTCTAATCACAGCTCTTGCTTCTGGAACGCTTAGCTTCAGACTAGAGCAAAGTAATTTCCGAAAACTGATAAGCTCAGCTGAAGTTAATACAGTGTACACGGATGGACCATTTGACAAGTCAATTCCACTTCTGAAAATCTACTAGTCACTGAAATACTTAGAGGGAAAAATGGGGACTGATTTTTGTATGTGCTATGAAAAAGCAGCTTCTCTCGGTCAGCATCTTCCCCAGCTGTGTTGTGCTTTCCTGTTTGTCAACTCTCTGCATCTCAGGGGTAGGACAGCCTTCTGCTTGTGAAACTAGGACTAGCTTAGCATGTGACACTAACACAGTGTGATAGTTATCAGGACCTCTTAGAGCAGAGCCTTTGCTGTACAGTTCTCTCCGGGTGTTTTCATCAATAACTGGGGGTCAAACTGTCCACCTCTGGAAAGGGGAACCCTTAGCCAAAGGATTCTGTCAACAGACATGGGCCACGTGACTGCCAACAGGTGACCAATTGTGCAGCTCAGCTGGCCAGGCCCACTCACACCCACGAGACCCAGTCCAGCCGAAGGGAGCAGCTGGCCCTTCTTGGCAGGACCTTTAGGGCAGTAAGTTCATGACCACACCATCACTAACCTATTTATTTTCTTTCTTAGTATAAGAACTCTAAAGAGGGCCTCTTGCTGGCTTCCACTCCTGGGCAATCAGCCACATTTTCTCATTTGTCTTCAGAGCATCCTTAGGACTTAAGGAGGGAAAACAAACAAAATTCTGCCTTCAAAGATAAGACAGTGAAAGTACATCAGTTAACTTAAGATTTCGATCTGCTTTAGTCTACTCTTGTATCTACCTATCTGTGATGCCCCTTCACAGGGAAAAAAAACAGTTCAAATAGTTTCAAAAGATGAGCTGTGTGCCCCTACAAACCTGAGTGGACAGTCATATCGGGTGAGGCAGCTAGCACACTGAGCTGAGGCTGGTTTCACCCTTCCTCTTTCCCAGGGATGGAGAACGGGCCAGGCTGGGTGGAGGGGAGGGATGGTGGTGGGTGTACCACAGACTTAATCTGAATGATATGGGACTCAACAAGCGTCACTGTGAGAGTTTTAGGGGACATTGAATGACATGCAGTTACAACCACTCACACAACAGCACCGCTAAGGATTTGAGAGGGGATGGCCAAGATCTGGGTTGAAGTTATCAAGGTAAGAAGGTTCTCGTGTACACTAGGATCCAAATGAATAAATCCCCAAACAAACAGCCTACGGATTATATCAGGTATTCCGAAAAGGTAGCTCAGCTTTGGGGGGGGTGGGGAGCCTGGCTCTGCGTATGTCTCTCTGGTTGCTCAAACACACACCTGAGTGTAAGGGCGAGGCACCCTTGTTAGCTGCCCCGTTAACAGAGTCAGACTTTCTTTTTCATTCATCGAGCCTGACAAAATGCTGCAACCTGACATCCCAGCAGGCAGTTTTCACTATTGTACTAACGACTCCATCTGTTACGAAGGTCACAATAATGTATCTTGTTTTAAATTTTTCTATGGAGTGATTTATTGTCTTGGCTATAAATTTGTAAAGAAATAAAACGCTATTTCTTCATCGTCTCCTGACGTGATGGCTTTATTCACAGCTCGCGGAGGCGGCACGTATCAGGCTTGTCTTGGGCGGAGTCACTCAGCTGGGTGCGGGCTGCCAAGCGTGTGTCCTGGTGAGCTCAGGCTCACTGCCCGCACCTGCCCCATGATCGGAGGAGAAAACGACTCCGATTTCCTTTGTGAACATCAGGGTGAGGGGTTTTCATTTATAAATGTGAGGAAAAGTGTATGGGATTCTGGCCAGTCCACGAGATCTATTGAGAAATACACGTCCTGGTTTAAACAGCTCAGAACAGATTTCTCTTCTCTGCCACCACGCTGAAGACCCTTAGTCTGTTTCATGAGCTCTTTTCCTGTGGGTCTTGGGGTGGGGTGAGGTGGTGCCCTCCACAGGGATGAGAGTAACCCCTGCGTCCCCACTCTTCTCTGAAGGAGCACAGTTCCGTGAGCTCAGGGGTGGCCCCTTCTGCCTCTATAATCCAGCATGGAAGTTTCCAGAAGAAGAAGAAAGAAAGGAGCCCAGAGCCAGCTGCTGCCAGCACTAGGCATGGCCGGCGTCAACACTAACACCAACCTCAAAACCTACAGCCTGGAGGCAGCTTCTACGTCTCCTTTTGGATTTAAAACTCTCTACTCCTTGAAGGATAAACAGATAGTTTAGACAGATATGCTTTCAACCCTCCATTGATACATGGATCTATTTCCACCACCCAAAGCCAACAATTTGAAAAGGCATTAACTGGAGACACTTTCTTGTTTCATTTTGTTTCATTTTGAGGAGATGCCTTTGGGCCACTATCTAGTCAACCTACTCTTTTTTACATTTTCTACATTTATGACGCCAAAAAAAAAATGATTACTTCTCCTCAGAATGGAATGCTTTTAATAAGAATGTTTATTTCTTGAAAAGGAATGACTCCTTTTGCATGAAATTCAATTTAGGCAACTGCTATTCACTGCTCCAGTGAGCGTGGCTCTGTGTTTTCTTCCTGTAGCTGCAACTGGACATGACTTAGTGAACGGCTGCTCATGGACATGACGATTTGACGGTGTGTCTAGTAAACACATACACACACTCAATTGCTGGTTTTATATACAAACAATAAATGAATATAAACAAGCACACTAATGCTTCAATATGAATGGGTGTCTTCATTCAGTAGAGTTTATATGAAAAGCTAATAACTTTATTTCAAACATTATGCCATTATGGAAAATTAACTAAAAGGACTTAAACTTTGTGATCCTATGTTTAGACCTAAACTCAAAAAAAAAATCCAATTTAGTACTTTTTCATATACAGGGCACTCCATTCTGATCTGATAGCATTTTTTTCTTCTTCTCTCCTGCTTCCTCCTTGCAGGTTAAATCCATCCCTACTTCCTTCCTTGTTTTCTTTATTAACCTCCTCCTCCCCAATTCCTTCCCTTTGTGTCTTCCTTTCAACTATATTTCCTGCTTTTTGGTTCTCCCAACAGAGCTTGAATCCAAAGGAAAGTGTTTCCAGGAGCTGAGGAGCGAGCCAGTACAATATTTGTTTGGAGCTTGGAATTAGATTGAATTTAATGGGAGAACAAACAGGGTACAAAGGGACAGCTTTAAACTCATTTGAGTGCCACCTGACTGTTGTAACTGCATTAGGTTGAGGGCACGGCCTCCTTGCCTGAGCGAGGGAAGCACAAGTCTCAAACACGGACTTCCTGGAAACCAAAGACTTGATTTTCTCCTGAAATGATCATGTTTGTATCAATTCTCAGCCGTCCTCCCGGCACCATATGTGGTCCCAGCATCCATCTGATTTTTATCTTTGCAATTATGTCAAGAAGCTTCCTCTAAGCTGATTGCATTGGCCGTGAGTGAGAGCTGAAGCAACAGCCACCGTTCAGGGGCACATCTCCAAGGCGCATTCTGCTTCTGAGAACGCCTCCAACCCTATGTAGCATTCCCTTTCTTCCGAAAGACACCGACGTGCTCATCCTGCCCCAGGCTGGGTGTTCAGGGTGACTGCAGCTTTAGCTACAGCTGCGCCTTGTCTGAGAGGGGGGTTGCCTGTTCTACAAGGAGGCTAGTGAGCTAAAGAGGAGGCTGGGAGGCCCCACGACCCTGAGTCCCACGCAGGGCAGCTCCCGAACACTTAGCCAGAATCCCATGCTTCCAGAGTCTTCCTTCGTGTTTTCCCAGCCGCTAACGACGAGGGACCTGAGAGCCCCGTGGAGGGGCCCAGGGGCACTGTGAGAGCAGGATTTTAAAGGCTCTTGGAGAATTTGTATGGAAGCTTCAACATCAAAATATCTAAAATTCAATCTGCTAATTAGCATTCTTTCTTTACTCAGAAAAAAAAGACCAGTTCTGCTTTTGAGGGGGTGGGGGAAACGCCCTGGGGAGGTGGTTACTTTTCCTCTTCAATTTGTTTTGTTGGTAAATATTCCATTGGGTTCGTGGCTCCTCTTCAATCAACTTGCAGATTATAACCACTTTGGGGGCTTAAACTTTCTTTTTTAATATGAGCTTACGTAGGTCTGGCTGGAAAACTGCTGATTTTCAGATCAAAGAAAATTATATTAGAATTTTGGGACCCATGCACTTTTTCCTTCCTTTTTTATGAAATGAAAAGATTTAGCTTCATTTTATAGTCTTTCTCACACCCCAAACCCGCCCCTTCTCCGTACACACATCCACATTACTTCAGCCTCTGAAATGCCTAGAGCCTCTTCGTCTGCAGTTGAGATGTTTGAGATTGCTCCTCGGCAGTTCTGGACAGTGCTCTTTCCCGGGTGAACCCTATAATTACCTTTTCGCCTTCTTTTGTACATTCAGTGCCCAGAACATCTTGTTGTCTTTCTTCTTTATACCATCATTAATTCTATCTCATTCAGCGATGACTTGCAGATATTGCTTTTTCTGAGATCCTGACCAGCATGCGGTGACTTTCAAGCTTCAAGTCTGGTTGGAGCAGAGGACTGAGTGGTTTCCGTTCAGCAGCGTGCAGTCTGGAATCGATGGGTGTACGTGCTGCTGTGCAAACCACGTGTCAGGACAGGGATCCTGTCCAAGCTCCCGCAGATACTCACCCTTCCCGGAGCACAGCATTCCGTCTGCTGATTCACACAAGCTCCTGCTCTGTTCCTCCGTCATGTTACACTTCCGTGGATGCTGGCACAGCTTTCCGAACCATCCCCTCTCACAAACGCAGCGACCACAGGAACACGTGCCGTGGCCTGCGAAGCAATCACAGGGTGGGGGTGAGAGGAGGAGATGGGTAAATATCCACCTGAATCACCGTTTTTAAGAAAGAAATATGTAAACCATAGAATCTCATCTCTGATCAAGCAAACACACTTTATTCCTTAGGCAGAATTTTGGCATGTGATGATTTAAAAGAACTTGACAACAGAGTCCTGGCTTAACCCAGTAGTCTTGAATGTCACATGAGAGATGGACTGCATAGAGAAAGAAGCCTGGAAACAACTTAAAAGGGAATTCGACCATCCTTTGTTGACACACAACATTTGCATTTTTATCAGAATGAAGTCCTCATGCTTTAGGCACACTGTGACACCCAGACCAGTGTGCAAGGCAAGTCACGTGACTGCTTGCACCATTTATTGATTACTCTCCTGTTGTTTATGAATGAAAACAAAGGTTAACATCCATACAAATGGCATCCAGTATTATATTACTTTAACTCTGTGCTTCTCTGCTTACTAATAAGAACAGATGGAAGTGTAAGTGTAAGTCTAGCATCATGTAGACGTTAAAAACAGCGTGAAACTTAGATTCATATCTCACTGGTTTTTCCTTTTGTTTCTGTCTTTGGCTCCTGGTCTGGGGATGTTTATCTTCTGGTGTATACACAGCATCAGATCTGTGACAGTTATACACTGGCACGTACATCTGTCTAGTAGCTGGCTGCCAACACCCCGGTAGCTTACATCATCTTCCATATTAATTTCATTTTTTTTCCAATCAGTGGTCTGTTCCTTTTCCTACATGTGCATTACCTTACAGCCAGATCTCTCCAAATGGGACAAACAATATAGCTATTTGTTCAGCAAAATTTACTGATTATCTATTAGGAACAGAGTATTTTGCTAGGCACCAGGAGATACAAAATCAAGCATGATGAGCATGGTGGTCCCAGCTCTAATCCCAGGGACATATAAAATCCTCATTCAGACTCATCAGCAGCTCTGTCTTGACACCATTGTTTCTTGACCATTTGCTCTGGTAGGACCTTTAAGAGTAAACCTCTTCCATCTGCCTCCTCCTACACTCAGTTCTGCACAAAGAGGGATTAGCACCAATATTTGCTTGCAGTGCATTGTGAAGATTAACATAACCCAACTACGCATGAGCTCACGTAATGTTTTGCCACAACACATGATCATCTGGAAGTTAATGGAAAGCAAGTGGGAGGAAAACTTTAAAGAGACCTGGATTAACAGACCTATTTTCACCAGCCTCTTCTTGTCCATATGCTGATTTATTGAACTAAATCTCATCACAACACTTTAGGTCAAGCATCGTCATCGTTTTATAGACAAGAAACTAAGGCTCAGAGAGATTAAGTAATTTTGCCTCAAATCACATAACTCAGTCATACAGGATCAGAACTTGACTCCAGTTTTTTAAACAAAATCTCTTTCTTATTTTTTTCCCACAAATCCCCTTTGAGAACCACACTGAATTCAGGACATGTTTACAGGTTATCTGGTTAATAAACTGTCGTTCAAAGACAATGGACAGTTCTTAGATGTCACTATTTTATTTCTACTTCCTGTAGAGAGAAATGAGGTCAGCAAATCTGTGTAAGAGCTATATACTCAATGAATAAATATTAAACGGATCATATCTTGACTTCTCCAATAAAACAAAAGTCCACTTAAAGTGAAGTCTACTTTAGAAGTTCAAAAAAACTTATCAACCTATGGAGGCACATAATGTGTGGCACAAAAAAAGAAGAGGAAGCAAAAGAAAGAGAAAGGGAGCTTCAAGTACCAATCCCATCAAGCTATGGACTTTTCAAATGTTTGTTTCTTACTAACCCTGTGTCAGTAAGAATTACCCTAATTTGACATAATTGGAATAATTTAATCTCTATTGCAGAGAAAGACAGTCTGCCTATGATTTAGGACATCACTGAGAATGACTAAATGACTCCTCATCACAAGTAAGTTAATATAAAATTTATACACAAGGAAATAGGAGATTGTTTCCCATTTATTAGCTCATTTATCACATCCTTCCACAAAGTTAAGTTGGCATTTAGCCCAGACGATGGTCAAAATGTGTTGGAATTCAAATGTTTTTCTTTGCCATTTACATGACTTCTCTTTACTTAAAAAATTTTAAAGTTTTCAATAATATCTTCTTTCTAAATTCTAATAATTTAGTCATCCATGTAAGAACTACTTACTGGGCACTTGGCATTGTACTAGCTCTATTCTCAAGCATTTAAGGGGTGGCTGGGGGTGTGAAAACAAGTAATGGCAAGCAAATACATTTGTGCTGTGGAAGAACTAAAGAGGGTGTTGATATATTCAACAAAGAGAACACTATTAACTGGAATCATCAGAGAAGGGCTCTCTGACTCCCAATGGCTGAGAAAGAGCCAGATAACCAATGTTCTGGAAAAGCTAAGGAAAGGTCTTGGAATAAGAAAGAACTTGGTGTGTTACAGGCAGTGGAAAAAAGGCCGATGTATTTGAAGAATAATCAGCCAAAAAAAAAAAAAGGGGGGGGGGATAAATAATAAACTTGGAGAAATATTCAAGAATGAGAACATAGCAAATTGTTTATTCTTGGTAAGGCATTTACATTTTATTGTAAGAGGAATGGCAAATCACAAAAGGGTGTTAGGAAGAGAGTGATGTGCAATAATTTACAGTTTGCGAATTCATTTTGGTAACTGGGTGGGAGAGATTAAGGTGTGTCAGGAGGAAGCAAGTATGAGGAAAAGTGACACAGTGTTACAGAAATCCAAGGGAAAGGTGATGGTGACTTAAAGTAGGGTGGTGACAGTGTAAATGGAAAGAAGTGTTTGGAGATCTACTTTGGTGGTGATTGCCCTGGGACTTGCTGTTGGATTGTATGTGGCACACGAGAGAAAGGACTAGTTTTCTGGCTCAAGAAATACTGTGAATAATGATGCTATTTATTAGACATGGAAGCTGCAGGAGGGAGAGGTTGAGAGCAGAAAGTCAGTTCTGTTTTGAACCTCGTATGTCTGAGATACTCTTAAGACAACCAAGCAGAGGTCAAGTATGCAATTGCCACAAACCTGCTGTTCAGAGGACAGATTGGGGCTAAACTTATACATGCTGGAGCTTCCAAAAGGAGATGGCATTTAAAGCTTTGGAAGTGACTGAGCTCGCCTAGGGAGAAATATGCTTGGGAAACTCCAATAGGGCTAGGGGAGAGGGGATAAGTAGACAGTAGGAACATCCAGCAAAGAAAGAAAACAGTAAGATGACTGTGTTGTAAGATGACAAGGAAAATGTTCCAGAAAGGAGGCCCACAATGTGGAATGTTCCTGAAAGTTGGAGTTAGAAAAAGACCATACAGACCGTAAGAGCAGATTCAGTCAACTTTTGCTAGACCAACTTTATTTTGTTGCCTCTTAGGCCCATGTGTGGGACACCCAGGGGTGGGAGAACTGTGGGAGAATCATCTATGTACACCCTCAGTGAGAACAACGTCTCTGCTTGTTGGCTAACTGATGAGCCAACCTGATATCAACTCGCCCTACAAATGGCAGTCTCCTTCTCCCATGAGCATCGAAGACTGATGCCATGAACTGCCTGTCATCTGCCCTACCCAGTGGGGCTGTCTCTCCAGGACCTTTTGCTGTGAACTTGTAAGATCATCCATCCAATAAACCACTGATGTCTCTGTCACTGTCTCTGGACTCTTTCTTCTGGTCTCCAGGCTGGGCAACCACAAGGCTTGCAGGCCCGCAGGGTGTATCCCAACACTGGTACGCTTACAAACTCAGGAAAGAAGTTTGTGATTTTAAGATGTAGTTTGGAGACAATCATACAGCCACCCCTACTGTCCAGCTAAGAAGGCCTGGCCTGAGTCAGTGGTCTGTGCCTTCCTCCCTGTGGGAAATCCAGCAGTATCCGGGGGTCACCACACTCAAACATACTCTCAGGTGCCTGATCTCCGTCAGATTATGGCTTAAGTCCAAAGAACTCCCCGAAGAAATGAGAACTGATTGTCTAATTAAGCAATGGCTCTTCATTATCCCTTCTTGTTTCCTAAATTGGACTCATGGGTGGCTATTCCAGGAGTACAGATGAAAGAAGAAAAGCAATAAGCAGTCCACTTTTTATTCTCATCCAGGGTGGACGGAATATGGGAGGCAGGTCCCTGGGTAAGAATATTTGTTTAAAACAATCAAACACACATGAGCCAATATGTACCTCTATTTTCTTTATGAAATCTTAAAATCAAGTACCACTGAAAAATGACTACATCTTAGGGATTATCACTCTGGACAAAGCATGTTTTTTTTTTCTTCAGTAGTGACTTATCTGATAAAAAAAAATCCATGCATTTATAGGTCACATAAAATTTCTATTGTTCATAGAGATGTTCTGAGAAGGTCCACACGTGGTCTGCAATCATCAAACACGACAGACCAAAAAGGTAACGAAGTGAGGAACAGTCTTACTTCCTACTGACTTTCTCTCTGCCGGTCATCCCCATGACTCACTTTCAGGTTGTAATTTCGGTGTAATCAAAAGTCAACTGCTTAAAATCATGTAATTGCTTACGTTCACCTTCCAGCACAGTTGCTAATTTGTGCCAGCTGACCAGAACCGGTGTGATCCTCTTCAGTGTTACTGTCAGGAGGGTGCATAAACATCATTGGCTTTTAGTTCTCACCTGCCCACTGATTAGGTAAGTTTACAGATATTTTTGGTTTTATTTATTCCTCATTTGTTAAAATGCTCCAAGAGTCCCTGCCTTGGAGTCAGGGACCCACATTTTGATCTCTGGCCACACAGTATATCTACCTGGGATTTCTGTCCATCCCTTCAAGTGAAAGAACACAGACACTGGGGCTCAGCGTCTAGCCATGAACTGAGAAAATTACCTAAAGGGGTAATGTCACTTTTGTTCTCCTCGGAAGCTACACCAGAGGGATGATGTTAGTGAAGGTCACACGCTCCTAGTAGTAAGGTTTGTGCACCACCAGCTGCCACATGCTGGG